ACTACCAAACAAAACGTATGGATTGTACTGTATATAAAACTTAGTGCTGTTTTCATGCATTTATGTTTTTAGAGAGCAAATGTTGTTTTGAGCAGTCCAATCAATGTCAGGATCCAAGTCTGGGATGTTCCCAGTTAATGGGGGATTGGTCTGGGCACGAGTGTCTAATTGCCACAAGTGCTCCACTTGTAGTGACCTCATTCACTGCCCTTTCTTTGGGTTCATCCTGACAACATTTTGGCAGGACATCTGTGAGATGATCTGGGAGCACACAGGGCATCAAGGGTTCACAGAGTAGTGAACAAGCACATGTTTAAACAATAAAAAGGTTACAAACAAGAAGAGGCCTACCTAGCCCATTATGACATTAGTCGATTGATCCAAGGATGGCATTCAGCCATTTCTTGACAGACACGAGAGTGTCAGCTACTAGAACATTACTGGGTAGTTTGTTCCATACTCCCACAGCCCTTTGGGTAAAGATATTCCTCTTATTATTACACTTCTGTGCATTCTGTGCAATTCCTACTTACTTTATACCCTCGGTTTCATGTTTCACTGGTCACTCTGAAGAAGCCTGCTGATTTGATTTTGTCACTGCCTTTATGAAATTTTGAATACTTGCATCAGGTCCCCGTGGAGTCTTTGCTCAAAACTTAAAAGGCTCAGTTCCTTTGCCCTGTGAGTGTGGGACATTCTGTTAAGCCACAGAACGTATCCGGTTGCTCTTCTCTGGACTGATTCCAGAATGACAATATCTGGAATATCATATTATATAAATATCATATATAATATGGCGATCACAATTGTGCAGTTTCCAAATGAAATATATTTCATTTAAGAAATTAATTATAGAGCTCTGACAAACAAATCTATTTGTCCATCCTTTACAAGAGTAAGGGACAGAATTGCAGCCCAGGACAAAGCACGTCACAGATGTTAGTTCATATTGCTTCCAACAGCAGCCACACTCGATACTCGCCTGTGACTTTCACAGTAGACACACTGTTGATTAACCCTGTGAATGACATATGTTGAACAACCATAATGAATTTACCCGTGGAATGTCTGTCCAATAAAATGTCAGTGCACCTGCTACTATCTACGAACCACAAATGTAATTTTGGTCGCTCTGTTGATAACATCTGTTAAGCAACGATAATAAATTTACCTCAGTGATGTGTGTTCAACAAATTGTCTGTGCACAGGCTAAAAAAAGCTTGCCATTTTCCTGATAGCAACTGTATGAATTTGTAGCAGTTATAGGTGATGCATTTCTTTTGATACCTAGCATATACTGAGCAAGGTTACTCAGTCAATAATGTATGGATAAGTTTAATCTAAATCTTCCCTACTGCTTTCAGACACATTTTGTGAAAATGAAAATTTATTTCAGACACATTTTGTGAAAATGAAAATGATAGAGAGATTTAAATGAAGGCAAATGCACCGAATTCCCCCTTCATTTGTAGCGTTTATAAAAGGTTATTCCCAGTTTTATCTGTATGTCTAAAATTGAGGTGCACACAATGTTCAAGGGTCTTTGCTCCACTTCCATTCTTGGTGACCTAATTCAGCAAAACTTGGACATTTAAACATTTTCACTGGTTTCTTCAATTCTAATCAGATATAGAACACCTATACATTTTCCCAGTATTTGATCCTAGAAAACTGGAGTTCTGCTCCTATGTTTTAAAAAAAAAGAGCAGAATGGTGGCACTGTCTTGCTGTGCTAGGGCCCTGGGTTCAATTCCACACCTAGAACACCTATCTGTGTAGTGTTTGTATGTTCTCCCCACATTTGAGTGGGTTTCCTACAGGTGCTCTGGCCTCCCACAGTCCAAAAACATACTGTATTGGTAGGTTAATGGGTTTCAGGAAAAATTGGCCCTGATGTGAGGTTGTCCATGTGTTGTCCACCTTGCACCTGTTGCTTGCTGGGATAGTTTCCTAGTCCCTTATGAGCCAGAATTGGTTGAAAAAGTTAGAATATACAGTAGATGAGATGGCTGGATAGTTTAAAACAGGGACACTCCAATCCTGGTCTTGTGCTGGATTTTACTTCCTGTCAAGTTTGTTACCTAGTGTACTTTTGAGTTACACTAACAGCGTTTTATAGGAATTGTTTTTTGCACTGATTTATTTGGTTGACACTGTTATCCAAGGCAGCTTACATTTGCTGTGTTTTTTACTGGAACATTTCAGGTGAAGCAGTTTACTCAAGGGTACTTCTGCTACTGCTACTTCTTCTGTGACACAACTGGAATTGGAACCCACACCATTCCACTTACTGTATGAATCCAACACCCTAACCACTGCTTCACAGTGCTGCCCCTTAGAGCTTAATTTAATAAGTTAAGGCACCACTGCCTTTAAATCATAAATCACTTATGAAATGCAGTAGTTAGAATGAATGCTCCAACATGCTGTGGAACTAAAAATGAAACATTTCCATTAATTGCATTATTAGGTCGATTAGGAGCTTAATTATGTAGCCGAAAGCTTGAATGGAATGAAAATCAGCAGGATTATGCATCCCACTGAGCAGGATTGGAAAACTGATTTTTTTTTAACACAAGACATTCAAAAATCTGTTCTTACCATAAGAGGTCTGTGCCATTGCCACCATCATCAGATAAAAACTGCCTCTAACCATAGTTTTATATTCAGCTTTTGACATGGCAGGAATGCTCAGAATAGGGACACATATTCTATTATTGATTCCTCATTCATGACAGGATCTTTAAAAGTATCCTGCCAGCTCTGTGAAGAAAGAAGGATAACACCAAGAGTCATTAATGGAGGGTTGCTGCCCCCCTCTGGCATTTAGTTGGAAATATTTGATATGTTACTACCAATTTGTGCTACAAGGGGGGAATAAAAAGGTCAGTATTAAATAAAATAGTAACCACTTGGTGCTCAGGAGGCTGTTTGTACACAGAGACAGTGAAGACAGAGATGGTGATCGAACCCCCCTTTTCTGCTTCTACTCAAATTAAAGGGTTTCTTCCCCAATGATTCTACCAGGCTTCCTTTCTTCAATGGAAACTGCATGTGCTTTGCATGCTTTGACCATAACCTTCTGGTTTTGTGAATTAGGATGTTTCCCTGCCTTGTTACTGTGCATGCTCTTTGATGGAGGACTGCTGATGGGCAGTTTGGTGGCTCTGTGGCTGGAAGGTTGCCGGTTCGAATCCCGTGGCCGGCAGAGGAACCCTACTCCATTGGGCACCTATAGTAAGCAAGGCCCTTAACCTCAGCTGCTCCAGGGGCGCTGTATAAATATCTGACCCTGCGTTTTGACCCCAAGCTTCTCTCCCTGTTTGTGTGTCTCATGGAGAGCAAGCTGGGGTATGCGAAAAGACAAATTCCTAATACAAGAAATTGAATATGGCTAATAAAGTGATCTTATCTCTTATTTCTTATCACCCCCATTCTACTCTGAGCATCACAACATCAGCAACCTCTCCGACACACATACCCAGTTTACCTGTAATAGTTCAATGATAAAAATGTTGCTCTACGGTTTCAAGAAACTTTAATTTTGTGATCCACCTGACAGACATACCACCAGTGGCAGTCTAGAGGTGGACCTTGGAAACAGTTAAAACCTGCAGCTCACCGCCACTAACACCTGAAATCATTAAGGACTCATTAAGGACACCTTGTACGGGAGCTGAAATTGCAAATTGTTGCCTTGTCTCACCTGGCTGACCTAGTTTGGTTTGCTGTGCTGCCTGCTGCTATTCTGAGGTATGATCACTTTGGTGCTGTTTATTTTCTTGTAGCATAGCTGAAACTTTTGTTACCCTTGTGAAACCATCACTGCCGTAACTGCCACCCCACCCCCTCCCCCATGGACGTCATTCTACAGTATGTACATTTTTTCATTCCCAAAATGTCTGCAGTTGATACATTATAGATATGAAAGAATACATGTCTCATCCTGGTGAGCAGGTAGACTCAGGCTCCCCAGCGACCCTGTACTGGATACAATGGTTAGAAAACAGATTGAATGGATGGATGTGTCTCAAAGGTATTGTAGAATGACAAGAAGCAGGGCTTGTTCTTGAGTATACTTTTTATCCTTTGCAATTGACTTAAAGAGAATGGTGTATTTGTATCAGAAACACAAATCATTGTGACAATGCAGGCTGAGGTCCAATGCTTTAAGCCATTTTCCCACACTCTGGACAGATGAACCCATTTCCAAATTTACAATACCCCACGAGTAGTCCAGTACAAAGAGACCATGAACACCTCTCTTACTTTTGTATATGTCAGAGATTGCTTTTATTGTAAAAGCAATTTATTTTTATTCCATGTTTTTCTTTTAACATGAGATAATTAGCAAGCAGTGACAGTAAACTGGTTGAATCGAGGTGTACACTGGCCAGTCCATCTCCATAGAGCCAGATGAAAATAGTGACTTATACTATGTATGGCTTGGCTAACAAAACTGAAAACTGAAAGAAGTTCACATGAAAATGAGATGAGAATGGTAGGAATATATCTATTATAGACTATTTATTAAGATGATCTAAATGAATTTGGTATAAAAATAAACTTTTAGTTTTCCAAACATCTCATTGCTTTTTATCATTTTCGTTGCAAATTCTTATTTAGTCACCTAGAAATCAACAACGAAAGCAAAAGCCAAAAGGAAAGGCAAATCTCTGGCCATAACACCCACCAGAATAGCCAAAGAAAAGGAAGGCAAAAAAAACAATCCCGGGTTCCCTGGCCCTCCCAACCAAAAAAAAAACTGGAAAAAAAAAAACCCCAAAGCCAAAAAAAACGAACGAACAAAAAGAACGGGCCCCCTAATCCCCCCCCGCCTTCCGGTTAAGGCCCCCCCGCCCGCCCAACAAGCCCGGCCAACCCCTTTCCCCGAACCCAAAAAGAAAACCAAAAAACCCCCAAAAAAAGGCAACTTTCCGCCCCGGCAAGGGAATTTTTAATCCAACTCAACAACAAAAAAAACCCTGGTTTTTTTTCATTTCCGGTGCCACGCTTCCGACTCTTCCTGATTGTCTGCAATTGCTGTTTATAAGTGAAGATGGAGGGTGGGAATGATGTTAGAGAACTCGAAAAGCGGCTGCAGGAGCTGGAGAAGCGGGTGTATGGGGACAGGGGAACCCGTGGCAACAAACCCGTGAAGGTTAGCTAGTTGTGATCAATCTACTGTTTTCTGACTTCACCCGTCAACGACAGAGTTTCATGATCTAACATATTATTAAATGTCCGTGCATTCATCGTTTATGTATAGAAACAACGACAGCATCAATAATATAGAGACCTGCTATTTCAGTTAATTTATATGTATCTGATTGCATAGTATGTTTTTATAAAACCGACAAAATATGTCGGGTAGCCTGATAGAACAGCATACATTTGCGAAGGAATACGGGTGTGGTTACGACAGGCTCAAAGGGTTTATGTGTCGAAAATTAATACTTTCATTCATATTCGGCTGAAAAAGTTCTCTATAAACAACCGAACTAGTAGAGGCTGAATCGTGTATCACAAGTTTCAAAATACAAATCGTGTATCACAAGTTTCAAAATACAACGTATGCTAAGCCAATGCATTTCTATAGTGAGCTGTCAAGATTAGCCTAATTCATCTGTCGCAGATGAAAAGCGATGAATAGTAAGTGAAAGTGGATCATATAGGGAAAAGAGACGAGGAAATAGAAGCTTCTAGTAATAGACTAATAGTGTTTTTTATTATTTAGGATTTAAGATTCTATTTTGTAATAAAGTTTATCATCACGTAAATATTACATATGAAACACTATTAACTGGCATACATGGGTATGGCCATGTCTGACCTGATACATACTATGTAACAGATATAATGAATAAAAATTATTTGAAAATGTTGTATAAGATTACTCATAAAGTTCTTATACTCACCTTGTTCCAATACTGTTCAATCACTACACCAGTGAGGAGTGTTAACTGTTGTTTTCTTGACCATGATATTAGTTGGCAGTATTACAGGCTTCACCCCTCTTTCATGTATCTCCCTTTCTGGCAGTGTGCTGATGTGCTGGGAAAGATCCAGGCCTCCTTGGTGAACACGTCCAACAAGAGGGAGCGAGTGAAGATCCTACACAAAAAGAGTGAGTGTGCTGAGTACAGGGCAGATGACTCTGGAGAGCCGCTTGTTAAATACCTGCCTATGAGTATGCATTTGAAATGGAACAAGCAGAGGTTATTTGTTTGTTGAATAGTAAATATAAAGAGTAAAATGCACACTAGTGGAAATAATGGACTTTCTCTGCAAAGACAGATGATGGATGTGGGACTGGAATGCCTGCTTTCCTTCGAAAGGAACTGTCTGTCTATATACTGCAGAAACCAGCTAAATGCCCCGGACTTGTTGTGTCCATTCAAACAACAATTTTTGAATGCAACATTTGCATTCAGATCTCTTTGGGAAGCCTAGTATTCTAATTGTATTTGATAATGAACAATTTCCCAGGTTGTTAACCTTGCACTCTAGACTTCGTTGTGTGAGTATTCAGTGTCTTTCGCTCCAAACAAAGTTCAGTTAAAAAAAAAAAACAATTTGCTGAAGAGTGTCCATCTGAGTGTTTAAGTTAGCTGTTGCAGCAGTTTGGGATGACACAAGCCGTGTTTCCTGATCACCTGTCTTAATTCATGAAGATCAGATTCCTTCCGTTTCTTCTTTGTTTTACAGTAGATATCACAGATAGGTCTGATGTTTTCCAGGTTGCTGTCATCAGTCTTAGCTGGTAAATGTTTTGACTGCTTGTCATTGAGGCTACCTACACAATGATTAAATTTGTTTCTCTTTGTGTGCTACTATTTTTGTATTTGTATTTACTATTTTTTGAATAATATTACTGTTTAAACACTGTAGGACAAATGTTTCTGGGTGGTACTGCTTCAAGAATAAAATTATAGTATTAGATATGCATATAGTCTAATAGGCATTTCTGGGTGTTGTAGGTTTTTTCATTTCAATTATTTTTCCTAATAATTATCTATTTGTTTTTCTTTTGAATTTTGTTGGTTGCAATGTCAAATTAAATATCGAAAAATGTCTGACATGATTTCTCTTGATTTTTGGCTTTGCATCACAAAAACATGCAATTTCAGTAAGGGTGTGTAAACTTTTTTATATACTGTATCTCAATTGTTTATCACAAAAATGGGTGTAAATATGGTGATAAAAGGCATTTTAATATTTCCCCTTAATGGCGTCTTTATTTACCAACTAATAAGTGATTACCTTCTAGACCTTGTGCATTTTAAATGACTCCTAAACCTGCCAAGACTGTACCCCTCTGCCATTTTCATCGTATTCATCACAAGGAAATAGCAGAAGTTGTCATGCATAGTATGAGGGCGGAGCGGTGGCTCTGTGGCTAAGGATCTGCACCTGTGGCTGGAAGGTTGCCGGTTCAAATCCTGCAGCTGGCAGAGGACTCCTACTCCGTTGGGCCCCTGAGCAAGGCCCTTAACCCCAACTGCCCCAGGGACACTGTACAATGGCTGACCCTGCACTCTGACACCCTGTCTGTGTGTCTGTGTCTCATGGAGAGCAAGCTGGGGTATGCAAAAAGATGAATTCCAAATGCAAGAAATTGTATAGGGCTAATAAAGTGATGTTATGTTATGTTATGATGTGATATGTTATTAAACATCGCCTCCATCTTTCTGCAGTTGAGGACTTGATGAAATACCTGGATCCCCAGTTCACTGAGAAAATTGCCATACCTGACACCATGAAACTGGAACTTATACTGGCAGGTGAGAGTTTCACATGCTGTGTGTGTAGGCCTGTCAGGAGTGAGCGAGAAGCTACTGGCCAGTGGGAGCTAACCTTTTACCCTGGAAGCCAGCAAATGGCCCTGCAGCTGAAAAAATCCAATAAACAGCAGGAATCTGTTAATTGTACTGAAGCCATATGAGCAAAAGATCATAAACCCTCTTTGTGGTGTGAGTTTCTCAATTGTAATTGAGCTTTTTTTAAATTTATATCTCCCCCCTCATTGAAATTCATCTTCCTTTTGGAGAATGGGAATTACTGGAAACAGCTTGGAAGGAGTCGATGTTGTAAAGAAAAAATAAGTATTTTACAACAGTAATAATGTAGTTATAAAATAGTATATTATGAAACAGAGATGTGTCCAAGATAGTATCCTTCACACACCTATAAAGCTTGTAATGATGCATTGTTGCATTTTGTTATGTAATTTTATTGTTTTGCCTCCCTTAACCTCTACTCTTTTCTTACACTTCTCATTTGTCTTTCCTTTCCTTGTCCTTTGTCAACACATCTTCACTCTTCACTTTCTGTCTCTCTTTCCCTTGCCCCTCTCTTCCCATGTTTTTCATCTTTCTCCATGTCCCTTTGTCCCTCTCTTATTTGTCTCTCTCTCCTTAGAGGAGGAGTTCCTGCGGTCTCAGGCGGCACTCCTGGAGCAGGTGAGCAGTCTCCAGCCTCTGTTGGACAGCGCTCACATCAAAGGTCAGTATAGCAAAACAAAACCAGCTGTAAAACCTACCTACTTCTGCTCCACAAAGTAGATTGCAAATGCAAGATGAAGTACATGTTTTACTGCACATTCTGCACCTCTAATTTTATGCTCACACTCTGAAGTTCTGATTTTACACTCCGTTTGTATAGCTGTCCCTGGTGGGATCTCTCTCTTCGTAACTTTTGACAGTAGCGGCTTAAATTAAATGCTTTAAATGTAACAATATTGTGCCTAATGTATAACATGAAATTGTACATTATTTGTACATAATAATAGGTATGAGACTTTTTCTTATCTCAGCAGCCATATCACCCTGCAACTCACAACTGGCAACCCAGTGAAGCTAAGCAGGTGTGAGCCTGGTTAGTACCTGGATGGGAGACCTCCTAGGAAAAGGTTGCTGCTGGAAGAGGTGTTAGTGGGGCCAGCAGGGGACGTTCATCCTGCAGTCTAATGCTGAATCCTAATAGTCCAGTATAGTGATGAGGACACTATACTGTAAACAGGCACCGTCCTTCGGATGAGATGTAAAAACGAGGCCCTGACTCTCTGTGGTCATTAAAAATCACAGCGCGTTTCTCGAAAAGAGAACGGGTGTAACTCCGGTGTCCTGGCCAAATTTCCCATTGGCCCTTACCAATCATGGCCTCCTAATAATCCCCACCTATGAATTGGCTTCATTACTCTGCTCTCCTCCCCACTGATAGCTGATGTGTGGTGAGCGTCCTGGCGCACTATGGCTGCCATTGCATCATCCAGGTGGGGCTGCACATTGGTGGTGGTGGAGGGAGTCCCCATTACCTGTAAAGTGCTTTGAGTGGAGTGTCCAGAAAGCTGCTATATAAATGTAAGCAATTATTAATTATTATTATCATCTCTCAAATGTGGAAATATGTACCACTTCTTGCTTTGTACAGTGTTAGAGGAGAACCCCATGTGTTTTGTAAGAGGTCTTTGTGGATCTTACCCTGGCTGGTTTCTGAGAGGTTGCTCTTTCACTGTTGCCTGTGTTGTCCCCTCTGGGAGTGTTCTGTAACATGCCTGTGTTCTACACAGCTGTCCCTGACCACGCCACCAAGCTGCAGCGCCTGTCACAGATGCACATCAAACAGCAGGTATGAGCTCCTTGCCGCTAACTCTCTCTCTCTCTTGCTGTCTATCAATCTGGGCTCTGATTTCTTTCTCTGTAATAAAGTGGTTCAACAGCAGGTAATCCTCTTTCTTAGGAAAGTGAAAAGAATAGGCTAACATTACCCCTATGAAGAAAGTATTTAAAGTTTTTTGTATTTAACTTAGATACAGTGTGTCTTCATTCACGAACTATCATGATTGCTTTTCAAAGGCAAAATGAACTATTTCTCACTCAATTCCTTTTCAGTGATAGTCTAACCTTCACAGGGCAATTAACCAGATAAAATTGCTTACATATCTAATACTTCTTGTAAGACAGCAAGATGAATTTATTCATTTTCAAGGGTAAGGTGAAATAAAGCCAATGAAAAATTTGTGTAAAAATATTGGGGTGGCCAATCGATAAAGGCTTGAAGATTAAATGTATTTTTCTCTGTGTATTCATGCACACGCATTTATTCTATACAGTATCCTCCAGATGTGTTAACACACAATGATAACGGAACAGCAACACCATATGCAGTAAGAGCATAAATTATAGATTGTCTTGCTTAAAATACTTCTGAAAATTATATGGTGTAATTATAATAGAATTGAATAGAGCAAAGTCATACCATACTGGTCATAAATAATTGATCCCAGAAAACACAAGGGTCACATTGCTTTGCATCAATAAGTGTTAATTGAAATAAAATTAAACAAAGACAAATCCATGGTAAAATTATGCTCTTTGCAGTGAAAGCCTCCAGAATTTAGTAGTAGCTGCAGCGGCATCATGGTTAAGGTCAGAAATCCCTTTGAATGCTGTATAGAAACAGTTATCGCCCATTTTGTCAGTATAAAGTCAGTACTCTAAAAGAATCCATAAAAAGCTGAGTTCATCACCTTCCACTGTAGTGTCAATTATTAAGAAATTTGAAGTGTACTCATAGCCTTAATGGCAGCAGTCCTGCCAGGGAAAGGAAACACTTGCTACTGTAGATTGTAAATGGTTTAGGTGTTTAACAGTGTGGGTTTTGTGGCTGCCTTTTCTCTGGTCTTAAGGTCGATACCTCTAGCCAAGAGAGCCTATGTGTACACTAAGTGGCGTTCTTGTAGCCTTCAAGCAAAGATAAAATTGTACGAATTTCGACATGATGGTTGAGATCTCCATAAGAGAGTGGAAACGGACGTCCGCAGTCTGGCGACTGGTGCCATGGCTCTGATGCGAACACAGGGAGATTGTGTGCGAATGTTATATAGGGTTTCTAATGAAGACCCAGGTGGTGCTGATATACATTCTCACGCTGAACTAATGAGAGAGGGGCTGGCTAGAGGGCCCTCTAGTGGTGTACAGTGGGCAATAATAATCTGAGTGAATTTTACTGTATTTTGGAATTAAATTAATATTAAAATTACTGTTTTCAACATTCCTACTACAAAATTAAATCCTTTCTCTTTGGTAATCCTGGAATATCATTTGTTTTACCTCAAAACCTCAGTCGTTTTGTTCTTCTCCACAGGACCAGTGTGAAACTCTATCCGAGGAAGTGAAGAAGCAGTTTGAAGATTACAACAAGATGGTATCCTTCTGACACTACTGCTGCTAGTCCTACTACTTTATGTCTCAAATTGTCATCACATGGAAAATGTGGATCAACACTGTGGTGCGCATTTTGTATTAACATCTGCAAGTCAGCCAGACGTGAAGCAGACTAAGCCAACTTTCAGTTTCTGCTAATTGACGAATGGGGAAACAAGAATAGGAAAACAGTGAATTTCTTTGGACAATACTAATTGCCAGTACATTCCAGTTGTGTTGTAATAATTCATAACACATCAGTTATGTGGTTTACCTTAATGATAAGTGTAGTAAGTGTAAGGCATTTTAAATGATTTATCGTAGATCATTGATATAAAGGAAGAACAGTGTTCTTGTTACAGACCATTGTGGCACTCAACTAGTTCCATCCTCCCACTGTATTTACCCTTTTATCTGATGCTCTTTTTTATATCCATTTTCCAGTTTTAAATCCAGACATATATAATCTTAAATACCCGGAATTTTAGGATTAGTCTTTTATGACGAACTGTATCAGTAGCCTACTGAAAATCTTAATATACCAGATTGCGTGCTCTGGATTTTTTACTGTTGTTGCTTGTTCAGAGAACTAACTAATTAAGCAGGCTTTTCTAAATCCATGCTGACCACCAACTAGAATCCCATTTCCATTTAGATGTTCCAGTTGTCATTTCCATAGCCCTACATATAATATAACTAAGACATACTGGTCCACAGTTATGCTCCTTGACTTCATGCCAGATGTTCCTGCTGTCTAAACAATTTTCTCAATGGGACGAGATGTTGAGGCAGCTTGAAAATGCCAGTCAGGTCAAGCCAGTAGTGGAGTGAAGTCCTTGGCCTGGAAGATGCCAGACACACCCTGACTTCAGAGGAGAGATGGATCGCCAATGGAATCTCTTACCTGTTTCACCACATGCCTCAGATCACCCTTCTCCCTCCCTTCCTGTAACTCAGAAGTCCCAGAAACCCCTCTTCCCTACACAGTGTATCCAAGATGGATTGACTTAAAGAACCCTTTGACATTATAGACATTGCAGCTGCAGTGTTTAAACAAACATACAATATCCAACTTGGAACGCACTGGTAGTACCAAATACTTTAAGGTTATAACTTCCATCCCATTTATCCTACTGGCACAAAGTGAATATCACGCTACTTACGATATAAGGTGTAGGTTGTTTTTGCAGAGCCTATCCAAATGTTATGTTTCCCATGGTCTCCATGGGGCATAGAGAGGGTTTGTGGACCAGGTGGTTTTCATGGAGGGCTCATGAAGTAATCGCATTGTCTGCCACCAAAACCTCCAACTTCTGCTCTGGACCTTCAGTGCTTGTTAGTCCTTATCAACACTTTACAGTCACATAGGAGCTTACTTTCTTCCATGTTCTGTAATGTTACAGTTTTGAAATATTAAAATGAAAAAAGGGTCTCTACAAGAAATGAGAGATACCTGTGTTTATAAAAGGAACACAATAAACTTAAATTATTAAACTACACATGCCGTTTTTGTTTTCTTTCACTATCTAAAGAGATGAGTAATTGGTATTCTCATTTATGCCACACACAGCTAATTATCCTAATTTAATAAGAGTTTCCTAATTTGTCAAAATATAAAAAAATTAAAGACAAATTGGTTAATCTTACTCATTTGGTAAAGAGTAATTGATACAAGGTTATTGACTTCTCATTTGTGAAGCATCCCACATCAGTTTCCACATGGTTGGGAAGCTTGTTCTAAAGCCCTAGAATATTTGTGTGTAAAAAGGCAATTTCTGTTTTCAGTAGAAAATGTTTCCATTTCCACTTGTGTACTCCAGTCAGTCTTCCATAACTGGTGTACCTCCAAAATTATTATATAGTAATATTGAAATTGTATTTTGATGAAGGTGTAAATGTATGAAGATAATTGGTTATCAAATGTTTCTTGTTTGTCATGTTTATTGTTGAGTAAGACTCATAAAAGAGCCTAATTTAATTTAAAAAGGTGCCGTCTTTTGGATGAGACGTAAAACCGATGTCCTGACCTCTGTGGTCATTAAAAATCCCAGTGCGCTTCTCAAAAAGAGTAAGAGTGTTACCCTGCTTACCCTGGCATCCTGGCCAAATTTCTCATTGACCTTTACCAATCATGTCCTCCTAATAATCCCCATCAATGAATTTGCTTCATCACTTTGTTCACCTCCCCACTGATAGCTGATGTGTGATGGGTGGACTGGTGCACTGTGGCTGCCATCACATTATGCAGGTGGATTGGTGGTGGTGGAGGGGAGTCCCTACCTGTAAAGCGCTTTGAGTGGAGTGGCCAGAAGAGTGCTATACAAATGTAAGGATTTTTTTAATGCTTTTGTATTGAAATGCAACCAATATGACCTTAGCAGAAAAGAAAAAAAGTTCATTGTGGAGGTGTATGATGCAATGCCATCCTCACACGAATCAGTTCCTTAGTAGTTGATTAAATATTAAGAGCAGTTTAAACAGAAATAAGGGTAAGGAAGTTGAAAGCCTTAACTCCTATAATGCAGATGAGGGACACACTACCCATGAAGTGTGGTGTTTGGAAACTCGAGATTGAGTAGTCGAAAGAAGCAAACAGACCATTTAAATTAGCGCTGAAAATTTAGAGTTTAGCAGACGGGAAGAGCAGCAGGCACAGTATTCACAAGAACTGAGTAACCACTTAGTAGTAAACGCCCGAACACCAACACCTGCGCCGCGACGGAAAGGGGTGCGAACTACAATTCCCAGCAGCAACGTTGGTATTTTCCAACGCTTTACAGCAGCTGTTACTGCTTGACGCTTAACAAAGTATTTTTCGGCAATGGTGATGAGCCTTACTGTAGTGTGCTGTTCGAATTAAATGACAGTAAAAAAAGTACTATTTTTTGTGTTTTTTTTTTAACTACAGCGAGGATCCCTGCCTGTGTGAGTATAAATCTACATCTCCAGTACAATAAGTCCAAAGTGTGATTTGATTGCTGTACTTTTTACGCGCTTTAAGTGCTTCAATAATCTTGTTCCGAACATCAGACTGGGCTGCAGGCTATTGTATCAGTAGTGAGGGATAGATCTATAATTTATAGCTGAACAATTAGTTACGGAAAAGTGCGACCTCAGGGTCGTGCTGCGTTATTTTATATCAGCACAACACACGACTAAATAAGTTATGAAATCAAATGCTCCGCATATCTCTGTTGCCCTCTAGGTGACGCCCACTGCAGTCACTTAATTTTGTTTTATTAAAAAATATATTGTACGGATGCCAGTTGTCCACAAAGGGGATCTGTATTTTGTGCACTTCTAGTTTCACACTTACCGCGTGACTGTTGCGGACATGGAAAAAAAGAAATGCACTTACCGAATAAACGCTCCACTCCTTTATGTCATGTTAAACGCTTTATCCAAACACTTAATTCATTCACTATAAATATTATTGTTATAGTCCGATATGCACGTCAACTCAATAATAAATGTGTTTACTCTTAATAAATATACACACCTATCGTGTACATAGCATCACTTGAATGTTATATTGCTTTAATCAAACGAGGTGATACACATACTGTAGTTTGACACTGCTGTATCTTTTAAATACCTTGACCAAAATAGATACAAATTTGAGTTAAAAGTAATAACTAAGAGTGAAACACGAAAAAGGGTGTTCAGTTATTGAATTGCAACTTAACAGTGCTTTTAGTCAAGAGTGTAGATCTGTGAAATAAGAGTTGTTGATATGACCATCATGATGAAAATAACTTCTTTAACAAATTTTGCAATGAGTGCCAAAAAAGTTGTCTGTACTATTTGGTCTTTACGTAATGGCACTACTGGTAAAAATAGGAGTGTTACCCTAGTGTCCTGGTTAAATTTCACTCGGGAGTTGCACTATCTGGTCTGTTTAAATGTCCTCCTTATTTCAGATAGTGAAGTAATGGCTGCCACACTTCACCCAGGTTGGACTGCATTTCAGTTGCGGTTGAAGTTGGTCCACACCTAAATTTACTGCTGTTTGGGTTCTTCTGGATGATTAAAAACGCAGACATTTCTAATTCTTCACTAGCCTTGAAATATCTAAGCTACTATCTAAATTCTGTTTTGCTATTAAGTTAGGTTTTAAACATGGGAAATTTTGCTTTATATTTAACTGTTACGCTGCACATGTTTCAGCTTTGCTCTAGCACAGACGACAGTGGAAGTTTAAAGATCAAGGAAGGGAGAAAAGCAAATGGGTCAGAAACAACACTCCCAACTTTCACAGAGTTTTTACTGCCATTTTTTATGCTTCCCTAAACTTTCCACATCTGTCCTGCGTACAATTTAGTGTCTTCAGTAGCTTTATTCCATATTAATAGAGAAAATTAATTTGTAACAACAAGGATGAATTTCGGAAAAGGAGGATCAGATGTTCTAATTGGGAACATAAGCATGCAAGACCTTCCTGAAAGCAAGAAACAGTGATGGTCTCCAATAATAGATCATTGTGAATATAATTGTGCTGAAAAGGAAAGGCACTGACAGCCCTGCTCCTTTATTGTCTGTGCAGTTGTGAGGCCGCCCAGGCATGGAGAATTACCACAAAGCGAAGACGATGGAGCAGCCCTGCCCCTGTCCCTTCCCTGGGCTGCCCGCCGGCACACCTGAGATGAAGGTCAAGGATGGCAGCAAGATCCGCAACCTGATGGGCTTCGCGGTGGGGCGCATGGAGAGCGAGGCCACGCGGCACATTGTGTTCACCGGCTCGGGCAAGAGCGTGGCCAAGACCATCACCTGTGTGGAAATCCTGAAGCGGCGCGTGCGCGGGCTGCACCAGGTCACGCGGCTGCTCTACAGCCGCACGCAGGAGCTGTGGGAGCCGCTGGAACCGGCAGCGGGCCTGGACGGCCTCACCGTGCACAAGAACGTTCCCGCCGTCTGGGTCCTGCTCTCCAAAGACCCCCTGGACGCGACCCAGGCAGGGTACCAGCCGCCCGGCTGCTTTGACACCCTGTGGGCCCAGGCCGCAAGAGAGGAGGGGGCTGCGCAGGAGCCGCGCAGGAAGAGAGGCGGGGGCAGCGGCAGAGGGAAAGGGGGTCGACCCTCCTCGGGAGCTCGGGGGCGGCGCAGCGAGGTGTCGGGGAAAGCGCCAAGTTGGAGGGGCACTCACCACGAGTAAGGGCATCCGGACAACTATCCTGAAGACGCCAAGTTCCTAGCCAAAGAGGTTCATGGGAGGAAATCGTCACCAGTTCCTCTAGAGGAAGGATACGTCGATAGCGAGGACAAAGATCAGCAGGAACTTGAATTAGTGGGCATCTGAACTTCGAAGGAAATATTACATGTTTTGTTTGAGAAGCAGAAGATCTGTCTCTGTGTACCTTAGATCTTCATGGACTACTTTCCCATTTACAAGTTTAAATGGACGAGTTAAAAGTGTAGACGGATGAAATTTGTCTTCTGCCTTATTTTTATATGTTGAACAGAGAAGAAGGAATTTATAAGAATGTTTTAAGTTAATTCAAGTGATGCAATAAATTATATAAATACAAACTCAGGTGAACACTTATTTTTTCACTGGATTAAAAGAAGAATTATGAAAAACTTCTGAGTATTTTATTAGCAGAGATATTTCCAATAAAACATATTAATGTTGTAACTTGTCACATGGATGCATCAATGCAATTAATAAAGTTTTCAGGGAAATTACAATGTTTTTGTGGCAGAGGCACTGACATGTTACAGGAGAAAGAGACAAGAGACAAGGCAGTTACTTTGCATTGTTTAAGAGTGTGATTGCAGTGGGTATGAAAGATTTCCTGAGTCTGTTGGTTTTACACCTGGGTGCACAGAGGCGTCTCCCAGATGGGAGAAGTGTGAATTCGCAATGGAGGGGGTGAGACACACATTCCATGATGCTTTTGGCTTTCTTAGTCACCCTCTCTTTGTAAAGGATACTTAAGTTGATAATTCTGAATTATTTTGCCACTTATATTCACTAATTTACCCACCCAGCCTATTACAGTTACCGGTACTTATGTTGCCAAACCAACATGTGAAGCAGTATGTTAAGACACTTTCAATAAATGATTTGTAGAAAAGTGTAAGAATAGTTTTATCCACCTTAAAGTACCTGAGTTTTCTAAGAAAGAAGAGTCTCTGCTGGCCTTTTTTATAGATCGTGTCACAGCGTTTGTTCCATTTTAGTTTATTGTCAATGACCAGTACTTTTAGTCATCGACAATTTCAACAGGCTGACCATCAATTATAGTGGGTTGAGGGGATGTGGTATTTTTCCTAAAATCAATAACCAGTTCCTTTGTTTTTGAAACATTTAACTTTAGGGAGGACTCGTTGCACCTGTTAGTAAAATCATTAAGGATGGGCCCATGATGGTATTCTGTGTTCTTTAATAAACTGACCAGAGCTGTGTCATCAGCAAACTTAATGAGGTGTCTATCTGTGCGTTTGCTTATGCAATCATTGGTGTACAAAATGTACAGCAGAGGGAACAAGACACAGCCCTGTGGTGATCCAGTTGACATATAGTGAATGTCAGATAAGCACTTCCCCAATTTGACCTGTTAGGAAGTCTAGCACCCACCTTATCAAGTTCTCATTCAGACTGAAGTGCTTTGAGAGTTTCTGTGCAAGCAACGGTGGTTGTATTGTGTTGAAAGCAGAGGAGAAGTCAGCAAATATAATCCCTACAAAGGTCCGTGGTTGGTCCAGATGTTGATAGACCAGTTTTAACAATGTGTATATTGCAAGAAGTCTGCTGTGAAGTCATGGGTTATTCGCATGAGTGTGTGGTCACCACTGGAAGCAGTAGAAGCCGTGTATCTGTAACATATGCTTTCTGGTGGGATTCTGTCCCATACTTCTTGTAGAACCTGGGATGCTAGTGCCCATTCACTGAATTCTTGGTCCTAAGCCCCACTTTGTTATGCCAGTATATTCCACCAATGTTCAGCAGGCTCAGATGTGGTTTGTAGGGCATAAATGTCACATTCACACTTAAGAAACCTGTTGCAGATGCCCTATGAGGACAGGTGGTCTCCTGCTTGTGGTCACCTTGACCAGGAAAGGAAATGAGGTCCCAGAATGTCACCAAGTTTCGAATATCACTGTCTGCGTATATTATTGGTGTTAATCATATTTTTATTTAAAATCTGAAATGTTTTGCATGAGAGAGAAAAATCAGCCTCTGTGTAAGCTGTGAAGGCGATGGGTAACACAAATTTCATTCTTTGGACTTTTAAATATCTTTTCCTCAAAGCAGATGAATACACACTTAAGACACAATAAATGAACAAGTAAGACAAAAATGGAAGCACCCGGTTAATAAAAGTTACCAAGTACATAGAAAGCAAGGGCTTCCACAAAGGTGTGGCTCATGTATTGATTACTCAGATAACATCACAGCATGCTTTGGGTCATGTCTAAAATTCTGGTTTGTCCTGGTTAGCTATAAATATAGTTGGCTTGCCTGCAAGAGGAGACGCTAGTGATTTTGGACGAAATTTGCTTATTTTGGCTTGTTTGGCAGGAGCATTAATGACTAAGAGAGCTCAACTTGCTGATCTTTCACGAATAATGTAGATTTCTTGGTCAGGTTGTCATTGTAGCTAAGAATGTGTTTTCAGCTGGTTAGTTAAATACATTCTCTACTTTATAAGAATTTATTGTGAGAGACTCCAGATGCCTGAAGACTGTGGAGAGTAAAAGGTAGCTGGATTTTGGAGATGTGAGCGATTCAGTAAGTAGGGAAGGAGTGACGCAGAACAAACACAGTTGCTTCTCCAAAAGACAAAAGAAAGGAATTGGTCACTGTCATGTGAAGACAACTCATTTGTTATTTTAAAAGCAGCTCCAAAGCAACATGAGACACCTTTAATATACACTGTTCTGTCGATGGTTTTGTATGCCCACACACAAATACAAAAACTGTATATGTGGTGGTAAAAACAAATAAAAAAACATTCTTCCACAGCACTATGGACTACCTACTGCGAATAAAAAGATGGTTTAATCTTTTCAGGTAAAGAGATTCTGAGGTGAGGACACTTCAAATTTACACTTCAAAATACTATAGTTTTACATTTACAGTTGAAATTGTACATTGGTGCAGTTTAAAAAATCATGGAAATTGTTATGAAAATAGAAAGTAATTTCCACCTATTTTACATTTTTATGAACAAGCAGACAGAACCTCAATTTATTGTCTCTTCTGAAGACCCTTAAGGAGGTGCACTGTCTCCCATCCTAGTGCTGACACAACCTTATCATTCTTAACTTCTGAGGCCTGGCTGCAAAATAGGGACATAATTTCGTATTTCATTATGTTTTTTAAGAACGATGATGAAACTGACTTTCCCCTTGATCTTAGAGAGATGTACAGTAGAATAGGTGTGAGCCTCACGTCTCTATAAAATATGGATTCCAGCTGACTTCTGTGGTTTCTTTGGTGAAAAACAAGACAATTTCAAATAACAAACCCTTTACTTTCTTTTCTAAATTTACAGATTTATTTTTGACATACCAGTCAATTTGTCCTCTTTGAAATTCTACAACTTCTTTCGGAAAATCAAGCCCATTTTCATTCTGAAGAAAAGTTTGAAAATCATGTGTACTTTTGCTCTGTTCCCCTTTTCCTAATCATCTAATAAATAACTTTCCACTTATTCTCTTCATTCTGATAATCTCTGCCTGCCTCCCTGTCACACAGCTGCATTCTCAAAGTCACACTACCTTTCTTTTTTCTCTTAGTCCCTCAACTCTTGCTTTCATACTTCTTGCATGAAACTGTAACTGTTATATTGTATGTATACATTCCTAAATAATGCAAATGACACGTCTACCATTTCTTAGGCAATCTCTTTCTATAGAGAAAATGTTTTTATCTACAGTATATTAACCTTAAAGGAAATAAATCTGAAGACTTGTTGACTGAAGAAGAAATAGCATAGGGTGTCACTAATAGCCTTGGTACTATATGCTTGCAGAAAAACCACTGAAGAATGACCTAAGAATGAACTAAATTGATTATGGACAGATAGCCCAAATTATATCAGTATTATAGACAGATGAGTTGTCCTGTCTGTGGTCAGCCAAAATGACTACAGAACAATCTGTGATATGAGGACTAACTGTCTATTTGTGATAGAGGATGGGTTAACAGGACTGACTGGTAGTACAGTAGACCCCATCTTGTCTGAGTAGCCAGACACCCCCTCCCAGCAGCAGGAGCACTTTTGCCACTAGTGAGAGGGACAGGAGCAACAGCAGGACAGGGGGGGTAGGAGACAGGCTCTGAGAGGGGCGGAAGGGCAGCAGGTAGAGGGTGCCTTGGTCCTTCCCCAGGGGATTGGAGGCAGAGCAGGTGAAAGGCCCCCCCTTGGTGATGTTCCTCAGCTCCTGAATCGTCTGGTGCTGCCCATGGGCGCGTGCTGGGGCGGGCTGCTCTTCCAGCTGCACATGCCTGTCTGTTGGCCGGCTCCAGGAGATCACGGGCAAGGGGGACCCCTGGGCACGACACATGGCATTGTATCCCGTCTCAGCGCTGCCATCTGCTGACAGCTCCAGGATCCGCGGTGGCGCTGTGTGTAGCAAACGGGAAGTTCAGACACATACTACACAGCTCCCTGCTCAAACATCTTTAGTCATAATACATTGCTATCTCATCTGTGTATTACAACACTAGAATAATTTCACAAATAATTTTTACATATCATATATATTATGCGTGCTTATATTGTCTTCCAACACAACCTTTAATCCAACTTACATTTTTTTGAGCTCACAAACTACCTAAATAAATTTAGCTTTTCATGGAACTTAGCTCACATACATGCATTATTTTGGATGAAAATTCATTATTACTACATTATTAATATTATCCATTCATCCATTTTCCATTGGAACCATGTCTTCCAATTCATCGGGGATAGCTGGAGCCCATCCCAGAAAGCACAGGGGTCAAGGTAGGGAACACACTGGACAGGACACCAGTCAGTTGCAGGGCAGACACACAGACAAACATACTGTATGCTCACACCAGGGCCGATTTTCCCGGAAGCCCATTAACCTACTTGTAGGTTTCTGGATTGTGGAAGGAAACCAGAACACCCAGTGAAAACCCATGCAAGCATGGGGAGAACATACAGTTCTATGCAGAATGCAGAAAGCACCCCGGTTCTGGAACTGAACCCAGGGCCCAGCACTGCAAGGTAGCAATGCTAACACTGCACCACCACAAGAAAAGAAGTAAGCACTCTCTCAGTACCTTCCACATACAGCTGTGTGCCCATCCTGTTCTCAAAACTGGCTCCTAGGTGACCAGTCAGCTCAACACGGCAAAAATAGCGAGCGCTGTCCTTCAAGGTAGCACTGTTGATCCGCAGAGAGAGGTCGTGCTCTCTTGGGTTCCCCTCCAGACGGTAGTGAGGGTCCTGACCCGGCTCAGGTTTGCAGGTGTTGCTGCCATTGTGGCTGACGCACTGGAAGACCACTGGGCCACTGAAGCTGTGGCCCATCTTCCAGATTGCCAAGATGGTAGCATGAGGAGTGTGGTGAGGGTGGGTAAAAGTACAGGGCAGTACCACAGGGTGCCCTTCTATTGCCCTCACCTCTGAGGGCACCTTCATGGACCAGCCACTGTCATGGGCACCTACCAGCAGGGGAAAGGTGGCAAACTCAGGTAAACTCTTATCAAAGGTAATGGATGAATTCAGTCTTTAACTGTTAATGTATATCCTCCTTGGTCTCTCCGCCAGGACCATTACAATACAAGAAAATTGATTTGTGGTAATCATTAGTTGCTTTTTTATAAGCAAAATGGCAATTACAAAGATTCTAGACACAGAGAATGTTGGAGTTCACCTTAATGTTAGAAACCAATGAACAATAAAAAGTAAGAATTAATTCTGCTTCTCCAACATTAGTTTCATCATCATTTAAGACATCTGAGGCACTTCCAGAGGTGGCTGCACATGAACAGGCCACAGATTTCTCCACAATTTATCCCTTACATCAGTTTACATTACCCTTTCGTTTGGATTTGTATTGGTCTCAGATATATTAAAACTTTTTCAAAACCCCCCTAACAACTTATTTCTCTCACAAATTCTGAAGCATGTTGGAAGTAATGTCCTGGCCTGAGCTTGTGTGGCCACCTCTGGAACTGAATCCCTCATAATTATTATAGACGTTTTTGTCTGTGGAAAATTAGCCTTTCTGAAACTGAGTTCCATGTCATTTGTCTTAACAGGAAGAGATTTCAAAGACAAAATGCTTACTCTATTTACTGGAGCAAATCTTCAAAACTTTTTCTTCTCCTATACATTGTCTCTTCCTGGTTTAATTTTGTGAGGCATATGAAGATCTTTTATGCATATGTTCATAATCATAGTAGTGTAACAATAAAAAGCAGCATGCACTTCAGTATAAAAATGTACCTCCCTGCAGAGAACTAATTTAATTTCGCATTCAGGCATTTTATTTATAATGCTATTATTGGTCCGTATTTTCAAGATGGTCTTTCTCCATGTTTTCCACGATGCGAAAAGATATCCACAATTGATTTCTTTTAAATAGTGATATCTCATGCAAGAATGTTGAACAATCACAAAACTGTCTAGAAATTAAATATTCACCACTTTCAACCCTGCTTTGCAGGTAGTTTGGATGTCTCTTGACATCATGATCAAATATATTTATGAAAGAACTAAGGACAAAATTCTGGAAATGTAAACTTACAATACTGAAATAGCTTTTTTCATTATCAACATAACCATGCCATTTTACAGGTAATTTCACAGTTGCCAAAGTGATACAAGTCCAACTTGACATTGTTATTTTCCATAAGTCTATCAATGTACTTCACAAGAATATTCTACTCTTGGCTTGTATAGTGTATATCTTCATCATCAAGCTTCATATTTCACCTTTAATTTGAGTGTAAACTGAACTACTCTACTTCAGAAAGTTATTCCAGTTCAGTTCAGAAACTGCTCATGAAACCAACCAGGATATCTATTTGAAGAGCATCCAGTCAGCTGTTTGGTTTCTTTTGATAAATAACTAAGCAAATAGAGGTATGTACAGAAAAAGAAAGATTCCTTGACACACATACATCAGCTTTTGTCAGAAGTACCTCAACCATTTAATGGAGCACATTTTTAGAAAATATGAATTTACTATATTTTTATGTTCAATGATATAAGTGCTGCATGAGATATCCTGGACCGATATCATACTTGAAGGTTGTGCAGCCTGTATCAGGGTCACTCACCAATGCAGTGGAGATGCAAAAGAATGAGAACAGCCAGAGGCTCATATTCCATGGTGATCTTGCTGTCTGTCAGGCACACACTGCTCTGAGAATCTCATTGCCACTGCTTACAGCTGCTCCTGACTCACACACGCTTTCTCAAAGTTTCCAGCACCGGCTCATTCACATAGCTCAAAATCAGAAATGGCTTTGCTTAGAACAGATCATCTTTTTATCTGTTGCTCGGCTGCAAGTAACACATTCTTTCAGGTCCCTCATCAATGAAAATGTTCATTGTTGATGTATTCCACTGGCAGCATTTCTTTCATCCTTGAATCTTCCATCATCTTCCTTGAATGTTCCATCAGCATTATATGTCCAAGTTAAAGGTCAGGAGAACTTTCATCAATCTGTATACAGTTTGTGTCTGTACAGTATACATATATATATATGTTTGAATATACTGTACAATATAAGTTGGGAACTTGTCACATACTGTAAATGCACTGTGGTGATGTTCTTTAAGCTCAGATGCATAAGTGATGCATTCATTCCCCAGTAAGATGAAAACTGAAAAATACATTATAATATTCATATACAATATATACTGTATGCAATTTTAGATTTTCCAATGGCACGGTATTAATCAGAATAAAATAAGAATGCTTTATTAATATATGCTTAGGCATCTACAAAATAAAAAGTAATTATGAAAATACTTTTTACAATAATATCTATAAGGACTTCATAATACATTTTTAGAATCTTGTGAACTTTTTGGATAGCAGTGAAGAAAATGCAGAATATGGGCAAAAGTCAGAGATAGGTCAGAGTCTTAGCTTCTCCAGCAAACATTTCATTTTATATAAAAAAAGCAGTCACACTGCACTCAGTTTTGCAGTAACTGGTAAAATGCACATATATAGCACTAAAGCAGTATAAACTAAATAAAAACAAGTTTTAAAGTGCTCTAATACAATATGTATTAAATGTAAACACACAGACTACTTCTGTGTGCTTTTGTACACAAGTTAATTAAATGTAATATGTAATATAACCTCAGGTTAACGGAAATCATAATCCGTTATGCAGAATTGTGGTGGAGTGGTCAAAGTGTGTTGTGAGGAAACCCAGTTTGGGTTTTCTCCCTCAAGCAGTCTTCTCTTGTTGAACCCTGTAGAGGAACAGCACAAAATAAAAGGAAATGTGGTAATTGTAATCAGAACTTCTTTTACTTCTCCATTCACATGACAAAATTGACAACGGTAGCACTATTCTAACAAGTTAAAGCCTTGTTTGGCATTTTATTTATTTGTAAAGGGGAGTTAATATAATTATTCTTAAATATGGGTTAGAGAAAAAAGGATAAGATGTCATGACAAGAAGCAGTATATCTTAAATTCCTTTGCACTTTATACTCCATGTGTTCTAATTTTCACATGTAATCTGCTGTTTATTTTCTTCCAGGACATTTTTTTTTCAGAAAACATCTGATCACAATCCTATACTTTAAAAGTTAGAATCATATGCTGTGCTGTTCCACAGTAGCATACTGTACAACATTCAATTGTGACATTAATAAGGATCCACTGTATCAGAAAAAAACTGAACAGAAAAGCTAGGAGACTGCAAACTCAGACAGCATCAATATAAGGAAAAAGCTACCACTGAGATATGTTAGTAATGTCTTTTAGGCACGGACATAGCTGGCCAGAAAATCTTATACACTTTTGTTCCAGAAAATAAAATGACTAAGAGAAATATGTCACCCTGGACAATACCTTAAGTTCTTAGAACATATAAAATATACACATCATATCCAAATTTTTAAAAATTAAGGTTTGCCTTGCCTCAGGAATCCTGCAATTATTGGATTTAATTACATACTGGATGCTCTTAATGGGCAATCCAGAGATTTACATAGACAATATTACTGCAAATTAAACAAAACCCACAGTGAAATTCACAGTCCACCAGAGGAGGCCTCATTGGGGTTACAAAACTTTATAGACATAAGAACCCTCCACGTGAATGATGGAGACAAGGAAATGAAAATGAAGGAACGTACAGACACTTGGATATTGGAGAAACGTACCTCTTCATCATGACTATTCCCATCATGATTATTCCCAGGAGGAGTAGCAGTTTGATCCCTAGAAGGAGCAGCAGAAGAAGGGCCAGGGAGAAATCAGGCTGGCCAACAAGTGGTGCAGAGATCCACACTGACCTCCCCAGCTCATTTTCCACTAAGCATACATAGCGTTTGTTGGGCCTGGGCACCAAAAGAGTTGCTGTCGACACATGCTGATCAGGATAGCTAGCCAGAGAGGTGTTGAGAATGATGGGATCCCCTCCAGCCTCCAGCCAGCTGACACGCGGTAAGGGCAGACCCTGTGCAGTACAAACCAGCTTGTTTGTGCCAGACTCAGTCTCCCAGGATACATTTAACACAGAAGCAGTCTCTGACAAATGCAAAAAGATCACAACAGGTTAAGAACAAACCAAACACACAAAAGGTAATGTTAACGTATTGGTCCTCTATGGCATTTTATCTTCTATTACAACAGCACTAATGAGATTCTGCGAGAGCCAAGATCAATATCAATGTCACCTCCAAGGAGCCTGGCAAGCTTTATGATACTATAAGAGGCATTTTCTTTTAAAAAATAATTTGATAACCAAAGCTATGTATTTACACAGAATAGTTTCACCGGAGATTCTACAAGAGCCCATTTCAGTTCATTTATAGCTTTATGGAAGGTTCCCAAGCAATCAGCTTCAAGAACATGTCTGCATCATTTGAAATGCTTCATATCAATCTCTTTTGTTGTCATCAACATAATCACATGGAGAAATATTCATAAAGGCACAAGCAAAGCTTCACAAGCTCCTTGTGTCAGCTTACCTAACA